TCATGTATGCACAGTGAAATGGAAACAGCATAATTTGCATATTTACATATACATATATATGTGAAATACGTACATGTTACCAAATAGTATATGTTGTAACTGCTTTTAAAGCTGTCAAAGATTAGCAAAAAACTGTAGAGATAGATATCAAAATGTTAATGGCAGTTGGGTTTGGGTTTTGGAACAGAGGGGACATTTTTCTTCTTTTCTCTACTTCCAGCTTTTAAAATGTGATTATCTTACTTGAATGATTTGAAATGACTAATGAAGTTGACCAAAGAAAGGTCATTCCAGAACCAGAGCTTCTACTCACCAGCTGTGTGTCTGAGAGGAAGTCATGTCTCTGGTGCCCCAGATGTCCCAACATTCACCCTGAAATTCTCCCTACTGTTCAGTGTAAATGCCTTTCCCACTTTTTGCAATTCTTGCTTTCCTGTCAACCTGACCTAATGTCTCCATCCTTCCCAGACTTCCTGAAACCCACTATGATGTATTACATCGCTCCTGCCCAAATACAGCTGTCCCAATACTGGTGCGTAGTTGTTGGATTCTTGCCAGTGATCAGACACTCAGCTAAATTCTCTCTATATTACCTAACTCAATCCTCAAAGTAATTCAGTGACACCCACAAAAATGGTTAAGCCCACTCTACAGAAGAGACACTTGACCTTCAGAGAAGGTTTGTTCCTTGCCCGAGTGACAGAGCCCACTCAGGTCCACCTGACCAGAAAGCCCATGTACTTAACTTCTCTACATAGTCTCCCTCAAGGCCAGTTTACTTGTGTGTCCTCAACAAGCTACCACAGTGCCTGGCATGGAATGTGGTGGGGCTTTAATTTGTGTTGAGTGAATGCATACCAGAATTTACCATTTTTTAGAATCTCAGTGTATTGTAACTATGTGCAAATAAGTTCACATTGACAAGATTACCATGTGCCCAGTGCCTAACCTTTCCTAGTGTGTATAGTATCCCAATCAATCCCCTATTGAGGAAGCATTGTACTGTATCCATTAGATAGATGAGAAAATATTTAAAAATGTAACTTTCCCCAAATCATGCCACAACCAGAGGGAGTGTAGGGAGGTGGATATTTCTTTGCACATCTGAAATCTTCTTTGCCAAGGGCATACCAGGATGCTTGGCATGATAGCTGAGCACCTTACATGCAGGAGGATAGAACACAGTGAGAGGGTTCACCGACCAAGTGACTTGGGCAAGCAAAGGATTACAGGGTCTTCAAGATTTTATTTCCTCAAGTGTCCATTACACTGAACAAAAGGAGAGACTAAAAGCTGAAGTGCTGATTCATAACCAGAAATGAAAACAAAACAAATACCAAAGTGTAACCATGTGAGCTTGAGTGTTGATTGGTGCAACCTCTTTGGTTGTTCTTATCTTGCAAAATTTTAAATATTTGTTCCTTTGACCCAGGAAGTCTACTTTGAGCAGGGTACATTCTTGGACATGTAGAAAAATATGTGGACACAATATTTATTCCAAAATTTAATGTAGTAACCAAGGAGTGGAAAATGTGGGTGCTGATTTATATGGTCTAGTTAAATAAACCATGGTATATTGGAGTACCAGGGGTCATTAGAGGAATTAGGTAGAGCAATATATGCTGACGGGTCATGTCTTCCAAATATATCACTATGTGAATAAAGACAGGTGCACAATGGGGTGTGCAATATGCCATGGTTTTTATAAAACAATGAAGGCTTAGCTCTCTGTACATATGTACATGTATGAATGCTGCCTGTTCATTAATATGGTAAGAGGGGAGTCAGGGGCAGGAGAAAGAATGATGCTCTACATATTCATTTAGTTGTATTTGACATTTACTCTTTTATTATCAAAAACAAATATCCTTGCTGTAGCTGGTTTGGCTCAGTGGATAGAGCGTTGGCCTACGGACTGAAGGGTCCCGGGTTCGATTCCGGTCAAGGGCATGTACCTTGGTTGTGGGCACGTCCCCAGTGGGGGATGTGCAGGAGGCAGCTGATCGATGCTTCTCTCTCATCGATGTTTCTAACTCTCTATCCCTCTCCTTTCCCCTCTGAAAAAAATTAATAAAATATATATATTTAAAAACAACAACAAATATCCGTTTTAAAGGAGTTGTTTTTGTGGCAGGTCTTAAATGTTTCATTCTACAAGCCAGAACACTATTGCTATCAGATGGCTCGGTACAGTTAGGGGCAGGTGACAAGCTTTGTTACATGGGAACTGGTTTGGGACCCTGCACATTATTCAATATGGAAGAAAGTTCAGACCCAGGTGAGCCCTGCCTAGGTGAGAAAGAGGCCAACTTCCTCTTGGACTAGTTGGTGGCAATGGAGGTGAGTAGAGTAGATATTTAATGAATATTAAATATCATTAATTATAAGTTATATTAAATATCAAATATCATTAATATCAGGCAGAAGGAACCAACTTCTGGATAGATGTGTGGAAGGAGGGAGAAGAAAGGGTTCAAAGACTTGGAAGTTTCCAGCCTGAGCAACTGGGGGATGGAGGTCCTTTTACTGAAATTTGAAAGACCAGGAAAGATCTGGTTTGAAGGAGAAAGATCAATAGTTCAGTTTTGGATGGAGTGATTTGCAAGGGGATATGTTCCCTCTTATATCAATTCTTTGGCCCCATCAGGCCCTCCCAGCCATGGGGTTGCTCATCTTCACCGTCTCTCACCTTCCTTCTGTCCTCACTTCGGTTTCTGTGGGACTTAGGTGCTATGTCCCATTATTAAAGTTCCATCTTTCTGAAACTTTCAGCCTGCTTGCCTTTCTCTTACTGCATTGTTCTTACCTGGTGTGGTGGGCTGAATGGTATCCCCATCCCAAATTCACATGTTGGAGTTCTAACCCCCAGGGCCTCAGATGTGACAGGATTTGAAGACAGGACCTTTAAAGAGGTGACTGAGTTCAAATGAAGTCCATATAGGGTGGGTCCTAACCAATGTAACAGGTGTCCCTATAAGAAGAGAAAATTGGAACACAGATGTGTGGACACACAGGAAGAAGACCTGTAAAGACACAGCAAGAAGGCAGCCATCTCTAAGCCAAGGGGAGAGGCCCCAGAGGAAATCAACCCTGCTGACATCTTGAACTCAGATTTCTAGCCCCCAGGGCTGTGGGACAATAAATTTCTGTTCTTTGAGCCACAACAGACTCTGTGGCTTTGTTATGACAGCCCCCAACTGTCCGCCTACTTTTGCCTTTTCTTCTAAGTAGAGGTGGGTGGCTGGACAAAATGTGCCTGCACGTCTGGTGTTTCTTTAACTTCCTGACCACTTCATGACACCCTGAGAACCTCTCTCATTTCCCCGTTCCATCTGCTCTCCCAGGCTCCTGCAGCTTCCCCAGCACCCCGCCCACTCTCAGCAGGGACTTCTCATTTCACTGAGGAGCAACCAAAAGAGCATGCCCGAGGTCACTGCCAGCAAGTCCACTGACCTTCCAACCCTAACACCACGCTCTCTACCTTCCCTCTGAGGGGCGGCAGAACTCCCTCCTACACCTCCCTGTGCCAAGGACCCTGAGAGAGGAGAGGCAGGGGATGTCTGGGAAAAGCCACTTGGTTATTCATTGAACCACCACTTAGCGTGCTCGCTGCATGCCAGACATTTTCTAAGCACAATCCATGGAGAATAGAAAGGCACCCCCTTGCACATGCTCACAAAACAAGTAGGAATAGCGAACACTGACGGCATGCTTACCAGGTAGCAGGCATTACATGGAACATGCTGTCAACAGGAACTCACTCCTCATAAAAGCACCATGCAGTGGGTACTGGTATTGCCCCACTTTACATCTGAAGCACAGAGAGGCCAAGTAACTTACCCCATCTCGCCCAGCCATTGGGTGATGGAGCTAAGTTTGAACCCAGACCTTTACCAGGATGCCACTTAGGAGAAGGGGTAAGGCTTAGGTGGAGCCTTTAACAGGGGGCTGAGCAGGCCTTTGTCAACGCTAAGTAAACGGGGAGCATTGTTTCGCCAGTGAACGGCATTGTTTGTACAAAGGTGCCAAGGCAGGCATCCAGGAAGCAGTGTGACTAAAGTGTAAAGTTCGGCCAAAGGGAGCTGGCCGAAAGGGGCAAGAGCATACAGTGTGTTATGAAGGCATCTGCAGAGTAAGTTGACGGTGGCTGCCTCCCTCTCCCTTTTATTTTTTATTATGAGGGTACGTTTATTATTGAGGACAGTGAAACAAGGAAGAGCTTAGCATAGAAGAAGCAACAGGAGAGCCTTCGCAGGGCTGCTTTGGCTCTCTAGAAACCTTACAGGAAAGAAATGAGTGGAGGCGGGGCTGCTGTCAGCTCCCTGGGAACCCAGAGAAAAGGGGGCCTCCGTGGCAGGTTCTGGGAATTAGCCCTGGAGCAGCTGCCGCTGCCCATGGCTCCTCTGATTGCAAGCCTTGTGGGGTCCCTTAGCGTTTAGAGGTGGGGGAAGGGAGGAGAGGCAGGGGATGTCTGGGAAAGGCGCAGGGGTGCTCCTGGGAGGGTCCTTTGTCTTGAGGGCTTCATCCCTCTCCTCAGGCAGGTCTCAGGGGAGGGTTTCAGCAGAATAGTCCTGTTTTCCAGGTGAGCTCTTTCAGACTCCTGGTTTCTTCTGATTGGTCCCAGTCAGGGCAGCGGGTCACTGGTCATCGCAGCTGACCCCTGGCGCTACTCACCTGGTTTTGCTGCTTTTCTGAGCCTGGAGCCTAGATGTCATCTCTAGGGAGGTGACCTGTAACCGGCTGTAAATTGCTCAGTTAGCTGTCGCAGTTTCTCCGTTCACTCTCCCCTGGCTCAAGTCTTTTAAAGTCCTTCAAATCCTCATTGGTCTGGCAGGCCAGGGAACTTTGAGGGAGGGGCTGGCAGGCCAGGGAACTTCGAGGGAGGGGCTGGGGTGGGAAAGGAAGCCCAGAAAAGGCAAGTGAGAAATCTCTCCACCCTTCCTGCCCAGCCTGGCCGGGCTTCTCCTCCCACTCGACCGGCTGACCCTGTAGTGGCCCCCATGTCTGACCACAGATTCAGCCCCATGCCCGGAGAGGAACCCGGCTGCCACCTCTCCAAGAAAGCCAAGGTCTGTCTCGGCATCCTCCTGTGTGTCCTGGTGGCGGTGACGATCGTCGCGGTGGTGGTCGGAGTCCTGAAGTGGCCCCGGGCGCCCCCGCACCGGGAGTGGAATGGGACGGGCACCACTCCCCATTTTTCGGAGATCGTCCTGGGCCGATGCTACACCTACACTCAGGTCCTGTGGCCAGAGCTGAGGTGAGCTGGCGTCTGGGGGGCACAGATGGGCGCGGCGCTGCGGCTGATGCGCGCGGCTGGGGGCGCGGGGAGCTGTCTGACGGCCGAAACAAAGCCTCTTCTGTTTCCGTCCGCTGAGAGTCCGCTGGCTTGCCATTTCGCGCGCCCCTTGCAGGAGCGGGGAGCTGTGGCGCGGAGCGTGTGCGCGGAGGCCGGCTCAGCTGTGAACACTTGGCAGAGATGACCGCCCTCTGGGCAAGGTGCCCGGAGCCCGGAGCCCGGAGCCCGGAGCCCGGGCCGTCCTGACCCTCAGCCCCCGCTCGGCGCCCAAGGCTGCAGGGACAGAAAACCACCGCAGACGCGCACGCGGGGGTGGGGTTTGTTGGCATTTTCTACTTCTCATGGGTTTTCCGTTTAAGGTCTCTGACCTGAACATGCCCGGAAGGTTACAGGTGACACCTGCTTAAGTGGCTTGCAGAGTTTGACCTGACGGAATGGCGTCAGAAGGGCCAGACCTCTGAAATGAGCTTCATTCTTTAATAGAAAGCAGCACCCCAGCACCCCGAGTCCTCTTGCGCCGTCGTGAAATGAATGTGACTAGAGAACTCATTTAACACGACAAAGCAAAACAGGAACAACTTTAACAATTGAGCTATAACTTAAAGGACAAGGTGAATCAGCTCAATGAATGGATGAATGGGTCCAAACCCTGGAAGCACCACCCACATCAGGCCAAGGGACCAATGCCCGAAGGTTCCTCGTGCCCCCTCCCCGCTGGCTGCTAATCTCTCTCCTAAGAGATCCAGTTTCTTGACTGCTGTTTCCAGGGCTTGGCTTCCGCCAGAGAACACATTTTTGAAGTTCTACTAGAGTAGAACAAGCTGGGAAGCTACTGTTTGGGCTGCCAAAAGCGAGTTTGAAATGGCATACTTCTGCCTCCAAAACGCCTGCAGTCTGGGCTGGGAGCGGTGAGAGCTCCCCACTACCCACCCCCTGTTCCCCTGCCTCCCGAGGTGCTCAAGGGTTCGGTTCTCATGCAATACCCTAGGTTTTCAGCGCAAATTGTCCAAGTCCAAAGAGGGCCAGGGTCCCTTAAGTTTTGCTTACAAATAATTAACTAGTTAATTGAAGGAGAAACTAGAAGTTGAGGCTTTCTTTCAGGTTGTGACATTTAGTACTAATTAAATCAAGCGATATCCAATCCGAATTGCTAATGATGAAAGTGATATTTTTTCATTTTCACCTTAATTTGACATTTTTAAATGTTTGCTGTTGTTCATCTTTGGCTAGCACATCCACATGGTAAGCAGGATGCACCACAGACTTTTCATGTTTGTCAGGATGTTTGCTCACTATTAAACACACATGCATGTACACATATCTAATCTAATAAAAGAGAAACATGCAAATTGACTGAACTTCTGCTATGCCCCAAGCCACGCCCACCAGCCAATCAGAGCAACTATATGCAAATTAACCAACCAAGATGGCGGCTGGCAGCCAGGGAGCTGGAGCAAGCAGGAGGCCAAGCTTCCCGCCTGCCCTGTCCGGCTGTGGCCTCCACTCAAGGAAACAAAGTTTCAATTATAGAAGACAAATAAATCCCAGATACCTGCTTCCAGCCAGCCTCCACTGGGAGCTTGGGTGGCTGGGGGCCATGGCCAGCCTGCAAACAGCCATAAGCCCCTCACCCAGGATGGCCACACCCTCATGGTGGGAGCTTGGGTGGCTGGGGGCCGTGGCCAGCCTGCAAACAGCCATCAGCCCCTCACCCAGGATGGCCACACCCTCATGGGGTGAGGGTCCCCGCTGGGGGGCTTGGCCAGCCTGAAAATGACCCTCAGCCCCTCACTCAGGCTGGCCAGGCACCCCAGCGGGGACCCCCACCCTGAAGAGGCTGTGGCCAGCCTGCAAACAGCCATCAGCCCCTCACCCAGGCTGGCCAGGCACCCCAGCGGGACCCCCACCCTGATCTGGGACACCCTTCAGGGCAAACCAGCTGGACCCCACCCATGCACCAGGCCTCTATCCTATATAATAAAAGGGTAATATTAAATTGACCCTAACAGCAGAAAAACTGGGAATGACTGGTCACTATGACACACACTGACCACCAGGGAGCAGACGCTCAATGCAGGAGCTGCCCCCTGGTGGTCAGTGCGCTCCCACAGGGAGAGTTCTGCTCAGCTACAAGCCAGGCTGATGGCTGCCAGTACAGCGGTGGTAGTGGGAGCCTCTCCCGCCTCCTCAGCAGTGCTAAGGATGTCCGACTGCAGCTTAGGCCTGGTCCCCGCTGGCAAGTGGACATCTCCTGAGGGCTCCTGAGCTGACAGAGGAATGTCTGACTGCTCTTAGTCCCAATCTCTCAGAGAGCTGGGGGTCATGTCCCGAGGGGTCCCAGACTGTGAGAGGGCACAGGCCGGGCTGAGGGACCCCTGCCACCAAGTGCACAAATTTTTGTGCACCAGGCCTCTAGTGTATACATATATATGTTCAACATATACCTGTGTATGCATGTACATATCTTCACAATATTAACAGGGGTTATCTTCCTTTTTAAAAATATATTTTTATTGATTCCAGAGAGGAAGGGAGAGGGAGAGAGAGGTAGAAACATCAATGATGAGAGACAATCATTGATCAACTGCCTTCTGCACGCCCTCTATAGGGGATTGAGCCTGCTACCCAGGCATGTGCCCTTGACCAGAATAGAACCCAGAATCAAACCTGGGACCCTTCCATCCATAGGCCAGCACACTATGCACTAAGCCAAACTGGCTAGGGCTACAGGAGCTATCTTCTATTAGTAGTTTTTGAGCATGCAGATATCTCACAATACATGTTTTCACACTATACAATGGGTTAGTAGTTGATGCAGTACTATGTGCCAGGCACTTAAAATATTAACGCATTTGTCCTTAACAACTATACGAGGCAGAGACTACTGTTGTCTCATTTTCCATATGAGTAGACTGAAGCGGAGACCTTGAGTACACTGCCAAAAATTGGCTCCATACACTGAACTCAGTCACTGCTATGGTAGAGTGACCATAACATTTATTGTTCTTCTCTGGAAACATTTTGAAAAGAAAGAGGATGCTATTGATAATTATTCTGAGTCGCAGTAGACTTAAACCTGAATGTATGGTCAATTTATCCTTGTGTGGTTTAATGAAGGAACTCTGGAGCCACCTGCGTGGGTTAAAATATTGGCTCTGTAGCAATGTAACTTTGGGCAATGACCTTCCTTTCTCTGTGCTGCAAGATTCTCAACTATAAGATGGAATGATGGTACCTAACACGGAGAGATTGTGAGGAGTAAAAGGAATAATCCTGATATATACTAAGTGCTGAAATGCTAATTTTTTTGAAAATGCAATATCACAGATTTCTTTCAAAGTAAAAAATGTAGAGCAAGGCCAACGTAAAAAATGGATGCCTCATATTAGATTTATTTAAATCACAATCCAGTAATCAGTTCTCTGATGATAGAATTTATGTTTTTAGCTTTTTACTATTATTCTCTCTCTTTTTTTTAACTTAACAGTTGGTGTTGGAGATTTTCTAATGTTGGTACATACAGATTTACCTCATTTTCTTAAACAGCTCATAGTATTCCATAGGGTAGATGTAAACATTTCCTTGTGACAGAAAATAAATTTCCAATGTTCAGTCCCATTCATTCATTCAACAAATATTTGCTGAGCATCTACTATGTTCTAGGCAGTGATGTAGCTACTGACAATACAGGAGTGAATGACAAAGTTCCAACTCTCAAGAAGCTGCCAGCCTAGTTGGGAGAGACCTGTCTCAATGAGTGTCTTTGTACAGATATTGTTGTGTGCTTATGTTTCTGTAGGATAGATTTCTAGTGGTGGAATTGGTAGATCAAAAGAAGAATTATGCTTATTTAAAATTTTGATAAGTATTTCTAAATTCCCTCCAAAATAACTGGACCACTTTATACTCCCATCACCATCTATCAGAGGACAGGCTTCCCAAAATCTCCTCATTACCAAATAGTATCAACTCTTTCTCATTATGAGGAAAGTAACTTCTAATTGTTCCCTGTTTGTCAGTGAGTCTTCGCATGTGAGTTTATTGGCCATTTATGTTTTTCTGTAAATTTCTTGTTCAGATCGTTGCTGATTTCTTTTTTTTTTTTTTAAATATATTTTATTGATTTTTTACAGAGAGGAAGGAGGAGAGATAGAGAGTTAGAAACATCGATGAGAGAGAAACATCGATCAGCTGCCTCCTGCACATCTCCCACTGGGGATGTGCCCGCAACCCAGGTACATGCCCCTGACCGGAATCGAACCCGGGACCTTTCAGTCCGCAGGCCGACGCTCTATCTACTGAGCCAAACCGGTTTCGGCGAGATCGTTGCTGATTTCTACTGAGCTGTTTATTTCTTTTAATGGGAGACATTTATATATTGTGCACTATATATATATGGAGCTCAGTCACTGAGCCATGCTGGCCGGGTCTTTGGTATATTTCTATTAGCTCCATTAGTGCAGGTGACAGTGTAACTAAACTTTCCACCACTATATAACACTAGAGGCCCGGTGCACGAAATTCGTGCATGAGGCAGGGGGGTCCCTCAGTCCAGCCTGCAACGATGCCAGCGTCCCTCGCCCCAGCCTCTGTCCAGAGGCCCCTCCCCTTCTTCTGCGTGACTGGGGCCCCTCCCCTCCCTCTGTGTGGCCAGGGAGCGGATGCTGGGCTCACATTGCCAGGGCTACACCACCAGGGTTCCACCCCAGCCACTATGGGTGTCACCATCTTTGCCATGGAGTGATGGTTAATTTACATATTACTCTTTTATTAGATAAGATGGGTCATCTTTTTCTTAGCATCTGGTAACAATTTCCTCTGTGTCTGTCCAGCCTTCATGAACAGTACCCTTGAGGTCTTAAGTGTGCTGCCTAGTCCCCAATGCTAATGCCACATGTAGTAGTCAGGGTTGTCCAGAGTGACAATGATAGAAATAGAGAGATATTGATGACCTTTAAGGA